TATGTTACTGCACTTCAAGTGTGCAAATAACTGAAAATAACAAAATATACCATATAGTAACTAAAAAATGAACAAAAACTAAATGTGTGGTGAGAAAAAGTATACACACATGAGATGTCACATGATGCAAAGAAAAAAAATATATATATGCAAACATGCTCGTTTAATATCACTTGAATTTGCTACAACAGCAGGAAAGAAGCATGACAATAAATTGGTGCTATTTTAATGTTATTTGTTGTTTTTACATATCAAGCATTTCATGCAATGGGTTTACACAACCTACTTGGTTCACAATTAACTCAATACCTAAAGGAATAGTTCACCCCAACATAGTTTCTGTCTTCTGTTGAACACAAAAGATGATATTTTGAAGAATTTTGAAGAACCAAACAGTTGTTGGTACACATTGACTTCCATAGGAGGAAAATAAATACTATGGAAGTCAACTGTTTTGATTAACAGCATTCTTCAAAATATCTTCTTTTATGTTCAACATAACACAGAAACTCACACAGGTTTGGAACAACATGAGGGTGAGTAAATGATAACATTTTCATTTTTTGGTGAACTATCCCTTTAGTACGTATCTCAAAATGTATGTGCCATGTAATAATCAATACTAAAATTCTGAATTAATAACTTATTTTTCACACCATCAGTCACACACACACACTCAAGGTCAATACAAGTCAGACAGACATGAACAACTCAGTGCCTTGGAAAGTGATTGGATAATCGAGTTGTTGGGATCAATTCTTGAATGAATCATTCACTCTGTTTCGGTACAGATTCATATAACATTGCTATTGCGTTTCAGAGTTCAAAATAACGAGGAACAAGAAGTGTGCCAAAAAACAAACAAAAAAATGACTCCAATAAATTACATACATTTTTAAAAAATTCAAACTCAAAAATTCAGATTCAAACTCCGGTTAACCGCATGCAACATTTCGAGGCACAATCTCTGGAATTCATACGTTACTTTGAAGGTGTAAAACATTACATAACTCGGAGTGTATGCTTTAACCACTTTATAAACCACCAACCATTTCTGTCTCCCTCACATCAGTTTCTTGAAACCACTGTGCCATGTGCACAAACAAACAAATGCATAAACAAACACGGCTGCTCCGTAACTGCCACATTCATCTTCCTTAATTGAATCCTTTGTAAACACTGTCAGACGAAGAAAAAAAAAACACCAATATAGGCAACCTAGCGGCATAAAAAGAGTCCTGCTGAGAGGGAGATGTTAAATTGGTGGAAGCGGTGCATCTGCAGGGACATTTTACCCTCGTTCTGCAATAACTGACCTTTGCAATGCTTAGCAACCAGTAGTAATTAAGCGCCACCAAACTGCTGCGTGATTACCCAAAATGAGCATTTTGGAGGAAGCGGCAATTCTGCAAAGCGGGACTATTATGCAGCGGTAAATACGGCAAGCACAATCTGAATCTACAGCATGTGTGTCTGTGACAATTTAACATGGCCAAAAGGTTTAAATGGTCAGAGCAGTGCAAGGACATTTATATGTACAGACACATGGGTGAATGTGCCACGATTGGTCCTTTCCATCTGAAGACACTAGATGTGCTGCAGCTCTTAGACAAATACCTCAATTTGTGACCTTTACATGACTCCGAACAATGGAGGTAAAAATCAATGTGCTGATGGTCAGTGTGTATTTACTAAATCCAGCCAGCAGTACAACACCTGTTAGCAGTGCTCTTATTTGTTGACTTTCCTGTTCCTATAGCTGTGCACAAAGAAAGGTTTGATCATTAACTTCAGCTTCGGTTTGATCTGGGTTCCTGCACAGATACATTTCACAGCACACTGTTTCATGCCCTTTTTACTGCAGTAAAATCAATGCTTGTACTAATAATTTATTTTATACATCAATAAATATTGATGTATGCATCACTCAAAGGGTTATTTTGTGCTGGTAATTCTATTTGTGAACCAGCAACTTTCTACTGATATAAAATCAGCATAAAATTGACAATGCGTATGTATTTATTTATTTTATGATGCAATGTTAATTACACCCACATCATTATTCATTTACAGTAAATATGTGCCCCTTAATCTTCAGTCAAAAACATTAATGTCCCGTCTTCCTCACACAGCATGTCTTCTCTGATGAAGGCAGAGCAATAACTTCAGTTCTTTCCTAACAATAATCTGCTAGTCACCCATTTAGCTTGCACTTTCTACAATCCCAGTGATCAAAGTGAAGTCCCACCCTAAGCGATGCCACAATGTGATTTTTTGACCATGTGACTATTCTTAGGGGGAAGTCGTGGCCTAATGGTTAGAGAGTTGGATTTGTAACCCAAAGGTTGTGGGTTCGAGTCTCATACCGGCAGGGATTGTAGGAGGGGGGAGTGAATGTACAGCTCTCTTCCACCTTCAATACCACGACTGAGGTGCCCTTGAGCAAGGCACCGGACCCCCAACTGCTCCCCGGGCGCCGCAGCATAAATGGCTGCCCACTGCTCCGGGTGTGTGTTCACGGTGTGTGTGTGCACTTTGGATGGGTAAATGCAGAGCACTAATTCCAAGTATGCGTCACCATACTTGGCCACATGTCACGTCACTTTCACTTTCTTTGATTCAAAAAAATGAATGATCAAATTTGCTTAGCAATAAACCCGCCACATACATATCAACTTAAGTTTTAAGCATTTGTTAGGACATACTTTTAACTGAAAACTAGTTGACAATTATTGAAAATTATTATCTGAATTATTTACATTTTTGAAAATTATTATCTGCCATGTGACACCAAAAACATATTGACACGTAAAAAAAAAAAAAAACAATAACAAGAAAACTATTTGCCATTTTGTTAATTATCCATAAACTAAAATGTCAATTAAAATACAAATAAACAAATAAATAAAAAAGCAACACATTACTGCATGTTTTTAAGACTGACATCGCAAAATGTCAATTGGTTGCAAAACTACAAAATCTTGATTTCAATTATCTTTGTGGCTTTTAATGTTCAATTTTCTTTTTATTTAATCCAACACATTTTCGAAAGTGCTGTTTTCAAACAATTTACTTAATCTATCTTTCGAGTTAAGACTACATGAATGTTTTGTTTGTGTTAAAGTAGCACTAAAGTTGACTATTTTGAGGGGGAAAAATAGATAATAAAAATTGTAAAAACTTAGTGTATATGTTGTGTTTTATTCCTAAAAGTTCACTCTTCAAACCATTTTACATATAATGCAGCTAAAAAAAATAATTACTTGAAAAAATGTGAAATTAAAACATTTTGTCAAGTTGAATTTATGACCATTTTAGCCTCAGAAGGTGTGACTGATGGTGTACATGCGCACAACTTCAAAGAGATGCCCAAGTTCTTCAGTGGTAAAGAACTCTATAGTTGTACATACGATTTTAACAGTTATTCAATTTTCAGTGCACCAGAAAAGAATGAATACTGTGTTTGAATTGCAGCCCATATCCAGCCCAATCCATGCTGTTTTTGCAGTTGGCTGTTAAACTGTACTGCCGTGTTCTTTCAGAAGTGGTTCAGATGTGCACTCTAAGCTCAACTTTAACAGCTCCATCAGGTGAATGGTAAAACTACAGCAGAAGAGATGCACTTCTGCACTAGTCTGTTTGCTTCTCTCCTGCATTTGAATAGAGCTGAGTTCCCAATAAAACTCACACCAAGAATGATAACCATAAAGATAACTATAACAATAACTACATTAGCAGCCACACCTATCGATGCATGATAAGATTCTGTTTATTATAAGAATGTGCTGTAGTTCTGTCATCCGCCACTTTAAATGTTTTAAAGTCAGGTGGATTCTAATTGGCTACCAAATGTTTTTTATTGTTCAACAGTTGGAAACAAATAATTCTGTAAGTGATTCCAACTATAATGTTGCTTTATTCCTTTATCGTTATAGTTGTGATATGGACTGTCCTATTTTTATATTTAGAATGATTATTAAAGTTATATCTGTATTGTTATCGTTCCAGTTATTGTCCTTTTTCTGTGTCAGGCAACGTAACAAGTATGAAATGAAATGCAATCCCACACACACATAAGAAGTCTCTTATGATTCGCAACGTTGCATTCATTTGATCAAAAATACAGTAAGAAAAGGAACATTGTGAAACAGCTTTCTATGTGAATATGTTTTAAAATATCATTTATTCCTGCATTTCAATGCTGAATTTACGTTCTAATAATTCTAATAAGCTGATTTGCTGCTCAAGAAACAATTCTTATTATCAATTAAAAAAAAATAAAAAAAAAATTTCTTGCCCCAATTTTAGTTTTTTTTACTGACCCTAAAAGAAACCCAATTACAATCCCAATCTGAGGCAGATTATTCCCAGGTGTAGACAGTAATGTTTCTTGGCTGATCATCTGTGAAACTACATTCACATATAATATGAATGTAAGGATTTTTAAAGGAATGTTCTGGGTTAAATATACCATTCTACTCACAGCACTGGTGGCAACCTAGTCTATGGATAATAAACTGTTTACAAATACTGTGTTTGTTTGTTTTTTTTAATGTGCCTATATGACATGTATACAAAGCATTTTTTTCTAGTATTAATCTCATGCTAACATGTATAATCTTTAAGTGTATAATGTTTAAGTTTCAATAAAGTGTGATGAATTGTCTATTTGTAATGTTTATTCTGGTGCTGTACAATCACCTTACAGATTTCCAGTGCAAGTGTGTTGCATTTTTTCAAACTGGCAATCACTGGCAAAATCCCACAGATGCTGCTGTATTTAGCCCCGGACTATTCCTTTCATCATATGCCGTTCTGCTATTATCTTCATTATAAATACTGAGATCAAAGTAGTGGGCAAGAACAAGAAGAACATCAAGAACAAGACAACTTTCACAGAGTGGTGTGACAGCTACTGCTGTGGGTTGACACAGATGGGACACATGAGTGCTGGGTAGGATCAAGGTTCAGAGGGGATGATCTGTGTTAAGTTCTGGTACCTGCCAGTGCTTCAGTGTGGCTGAGCAGGAGGCTCCTCTGGCTCACTGTGTCCACAGTAACACTCATGCTCATGTCATGTGTAGAGGGAGAGTCCGGCTCCTCCTCGACCGCGTGCCACGCCAGCAGACCCACCTCAGCATCGTTCAGATAACCATTAGACGTCTCACTGCTCACACTCTCACCTGACAGAAGAGAGGTTATATTGACTGACAAAATCATTAGTTATCACACGGCGCTCTGAAACGCAGATCTCTGTGGTCTGATAATGTATAACCATATAGACCGTTCATATGGAGTTCATATCTGAAGATGGTGCTTCTTTTATGTCTCTCATAACACACCACACACTCACCCTCTTTTGTTTCATACAGATGCATCTGGTGACATCTTGATTTTTGGAAGCTCTGTGTTTAGAGAGCTAATAAAATATTTTAACTATGTTAATTTTCAGTTAAGTCCAATTATTTACTTACATGACAAGTAGCCATGTAAAAGGCACAATGTACATCAAGCTAGTCAGTTGTCATCTTAAATAATATACAGGTGCATCTCAATAAATTAGAATGACGTGGAAAAGTTCATTTATTTCAGTAATTCAACTCAAATTGTGAAACTCGTGTATTAAATAAATTCAATGCACACAGACTGAAGTAGTTTAAGTCTTTGGTTCTTTTAATTGTGATGATTTTGGCTCACATTTAACAAAAACCCACCAATTCACTATCTCAACAAATTAGAATAACACAAGTTTCCCAATTTGAGTTGAATTACTGAAATAAATGAACTTTTCCACGACATTTGAATTTATTGAGATGCACCTGTATATATATATATATATATATATATATATACACACACACACACACACACATACATACATACATATACATATATAGGGCCTAAAACTAACTTTTTGCTACACCTGCCAATGGCCGGTGACGTGATAAAATTTACCAGCCAAAATTTTTTTTACTGGCCATGAAACTCTTTTTGCAAAAACAGGCAGTCATTACTACTACAATAACTAAACATATTAAAATAGGCAAACGGAGCAGGCCATTGTGTTACATCTGTTTCACACATACTCAGTTTGCAGTGCGTATTTTTTTCCGCATCCATGTTAACAGATTACAGCAGGGCTATATAATTAGCTTCATTTGAGGGCTAGATTATCAAACTGAAAATTTGAAGGGGGCCAAGGGGGTGGGGGCTGTCCCGATCTCTTTTTGGGGGGACCTATAAAATTAGAAATTAAATTGAAATCGTAAACATTAGTGCTGTCTGTCAATCAATTAAAAAAAATAATTAATCACATTTTTCTGTAATTAATCATGATTAATCGCATATTTATAGTCACAATTTCACATTGAACCTCCAAATTAATGTAGAAACAACATAAAGATAGTATATTTTAAATATGTTTAAATGGCATCTTTTTACTAAGTAGTATATTAATAATGAAGTATTGATACTGCAACTGGTGTCTCTATTAAATACCTTTTCCCTCAATTTTACCTATTCATTATAGCCATTCAACATTACAGTATAATTGAAAGCCATTATTTTTAACATTTAATAGGCTCTGAAATATTAAGTGATTTTAAAACAATCTTCACATAAACTATGAGTTGTATATGCATAAACTATACCGATTAATCTTTATTGAAGCTACAAAAGTTAATCAGCGACTAGAGCAGTCAAGTGACTTCTCTTTTTCTTTTGTTCTTTGATTTACATCAATCACAGACTTTAGCAGGTTTTACTTTAAAAGCAGCGCTGTCTCTTTAAAACCTGATACACATGACGCGGATCTAACGCATATCTTCTCCAAACTCTTTACAGTCATTTAAGACTTTATAACTCATTTAAGGTTACGTTTACAAAGTAACTCGCCAAAACTCGCATATTTTGACATTATTGTGTGTGTTTTCGTGCGTTGAAGCGCTACTAGTGCGCTGTCTGAAGCGGCTCAGCGTATTTGTACAGCCGAACGAGCAACCTTTCAAACTATAGCCTACTTCACTGCACCGTTTCTGCGGCATACACCCCAGGTATGTCTCGCCACATTCTAGGGTTATGAAGAATAAAGAAGGGAAAAATTAATCTTCCGATATGAAGCAGCAAAATCTTCTCAGGTAAAAGTTATTAGAACCGTGTCTAGGGACAAGCTGGCCATCACACTGCTCTGACCTTATCAGCCCGTTCATATCCTATTATTTGATTCACTCTTGTCACTTATGACAGAACAGCTAATCACGATGAACTTGTTTATGGAAAATATTATTTTATTCGCTTACGTCAGAAACAGCAAATCTCTTTAAAAACGGGCTGTTGTTCCCACTACATTGCATTGTTATATTTCGTAAAAGTTTTACCCGCCAACTAGCGACTGACACCGTTACATGGACTCACCAACGCTGATTTTGACTTGCATTTGGTGCTAGGCGAGTGTCAATTTTAGGCCCTGTATATATATATATATATATATATATATATATATATAT